CCATGCTGCTAAAAATACTGAATTTATGTTCCCAATATCAAAGAGGAAAGCAACATGTCCGGTTGTGGCATGGCTCCGGTTGGCTGCGGCCCTGAAGACCATGTCTGGACCTAGTTTTGGAAGTGCTATGGTCCAACCCAGGGCCTCCAGTTAGTTCCAAGAAGCTGGAGACAGATTTCTAAGGTAGAGGCTGATGTCTAGAAAGGCAGCAAACTTCTTTCTATCTAGACTTTGGCTTCTAGCTTAGAAGTTCTAGACAGACAGAAGAAGATCAAAATGTAGATGGTCCCATGCTTCTTGCCATGGTAAGTGATGTTGCTAAGTAAGGCTTGGAGACCTCAAGCACATGCTCGCCATAGTAACACACTATACCAGGATCCTGAGGCTTTGCCTGTAGTATCAGGAGAAAAAGTCAGCTCAAGCTTTCATAATTATTTGACAAAGAATAATGGTCACCAAACTGTAGCTCTGTAACTGGACCTGCTTCCTCCCATATAAGTAGCCTATACTTGTGGTCCTGTCTCAGTAGGAGAATGGCTACTTCTCTTTTTAACTGTACAGATAGTCCTCGACTTACAACTATTTGTTTAGCAACCGTTTGGAGTTACGACAGCCTGAAAAAAGTGACTTACAACTTACTACCACTGCAGTGTCCCTACTGTCATGTGATCAAAATTTGGGCATGTATTTTCGATGGTTGTAGAGCCCTGGGGTCACATCATCGCAATTTGCGACCTTCCCAGGGGGCTTCTGACAAGCAAAGTCAATGGGGGAAGCCTGATTTACTTTACAACCGTGGTGATTCCCTTAATTACTGCAGCAAAAAAGGTCATAAAATCAGGCACAGCTCACTTAACAACCACATCGCTTAGCAACGTAAGTTCTGGGCCCAATTGTGATCATACGTCGAGGACTACCTGTACGCTGTGCGAAATATGGCAGTCTAGAAGTAGAGGAAACAAGTAAATGAAATCCACTGCCAGGTCTTTTTGGTGGTGATACCAAGATGGTAGCAGAGTCTTCCTTAAGAGACTTGCCTCCATATCAGTAAATTTCCACTTACTAAAACCTTTATCTCACAGTGCCTTGGGCTGGTGAGTTTTTACACATTATGCTGTGTTCAATTTTAGATTTTTCTGCTGGGGATTTTCACAGCATGTTTTTTGAAAGCTGGGCTTTATTTATTATTTTTATTGTTGCTTTATACTTTCATTGCACATTTTTCAGAAGTGGTTTGGCCTTCCTAGGGCTGAGAGAGAGCAACTGGCCCAAGGTAACCCAGCTGGCTTTCATGTCTAAGGCAGGATTAGAATTCAGATTTCTCTGAATCTGAATAGCACCTTAACCAATAGACCAAACTGGCTTTCTTAAGATTAGTGCAGGAAAGCATACTGGCTGGGGAATTCTGGCAGTTGAAGTCCACATATCTTAACGTTGCTAAGGTTGAGAAACACTGGCATAGGAGTTACAGAATCTAAGAATAGGAAGGGGTCTTGGATATCATATAGGAATCCACTCCTCCAGAGATGGTGATGATTCCACAATTTTAGCAACCTCCTGTACATCTTATAAATGAGTCTTCCTCATGCCAGTGATTTATTCATTTGGTTTCCCATGTCATATCCTGCTCAAACTCCCAAGTGCTTTTTAATGTTCTAAAAGGTTTCATGGTTTGAGAGCAGAGTATGGTAAAACCTCAGTAAAATGGACCGGTTGCGGAGAGAGGTGTCCATTAAATGACAACCAGAATTTTTCATCCACAAAAAGCATATTCTTGCATGAAAAAAATAAAACAGTTCTACTTAACTTTCCATTCAACGCATAAGAAAACCAACTTTACTTAATTTTATGATTAGTTTAAAGAAACTGTCCAATTTAAGTTGTGCCTTGGAAGCATAATGCATCTGGACCTTATGATCAAAGGAGGCGTCAATAGAAGATACCATGTTGTCAAGAAGAGATCTGAATTATTTTATTTTGGAGATCGGCAGTTTTTATTTCTGATCCTTGTTGCTCATGTGCTGTTCCGTCTCAGTGGCCATTTCACTCTCTCTCATCCGCTCGTATCCGGGAATGCCTTGACTGCATTTTAACCACCACGAGACTCTGTCCTTCAATTGCTTCCTTTTCACCAGCTGTCTTTATGGTTTTGTGGTAGCCACTGACTTAAAATCCTTTATATGCAAGTCTACATCCATGCTGCAAAAGTTTTTTTCTAGCCATTTGATAATTCTGTTTCTCAAGCTGCAGCAAACTTGGCAGATTGCTGACTTTAAGCTGTAATTTCTGAGGTCCTGTAATGTTTTGTGGTCCTCTTGTGTCTCTTTTATCAGACTTGTCCTCCAACACAATCATCACCTCATCCAAACATCCCTCTCTATAAAGTCTTTTCCTTGCCAGAATGATCCCCCGGCTGGACTGTTGTTGTTCTTATTTGGAAAAACATGTAATTAAATGTCAGATCTTTCAGCGACAATTATTTTTTTCTCCTGACGGATACTGTCAAGACTTTACATTTTCCAGTGATATTTTCAGCTCTTCATTTTGACACTTTCTGGCACAAAGTGAATGAAGAACCACTCTTGAAAAAGGGTTGACGTAAGCCATGCCTGCTTGAATTATAACATATGCCTGGTAGATGATGTGTGATGTTTTTCCAGTCTTGGAGTACATGGGTTGCAAACTATGAAGGGTGTTAATCTACGCAATCCACAATGTTTGCACAAAGTAACAATGATATTCTCTCCTTGCTAATCCTTCATCCTGTTGCTGACGTTTCACGCTCAAATACCCGAGTGTTCACTGGAACTGATAACCAGAACAGCCAGTCTCATCAGCATTGTAAATTTCCGATGGCACGAAGCATTCATCACCAAACAACAACGTAAACTTTTCTTAAAATGGACCTATCTCCTCCACGGGCGCATTCATAAAACTGCCCCAACCATCCATCTTTGACTTTGAAATATATGTTCATTTGGTTTGCTATTGTATTAACTGCTGATCTTAGTTCCTCTCCATATATATTAACAGAACATGAACGTTGCAAAACATAACAACTTCACCACTGCTTTACTGAGTGGGGTTTCATCTGGCTTCTTGCCCCAATTTCAGCTGTTTTACTGGTTGCACTGACATTACACTGTAATAAATAATCTTCACCTTACTTTCTGCTTTATGAATATCGGACATTATCTGTTTCGTTAATCTGTCCTTTTCACTTTCACATACATCAAGCACCCCAATTTGAATTTTTCAATCAACTCACTTTGGATTTACACTCAAATTTACTCTTTTCCTTTTTTTTTCACCTCCCTCTGAAGGCATGGTATATCAAACACAGTTTGCAAATTATTTACAAAAATATAAACACCAATAATCAAAATATCAGCACTTGTGAGACACTAAGATTGTCAGTAGCACCATAAGAAGACATGGTGCAGAAGTCACAACAGTTGCAGATACACAGAAGCAACAATTGTCCAGACAACATTGTCAAACAAATGGACTTCGTCTGTTGTTTGGGGGCAATGACTAAAATCAGATTTTGCCTGTTGTATCCAAAGTCTGCTGAATCAGGGTTTGTAAAATCAAGATTTTACTATAATTGAAGGATCACCTGAATAGAAGCCACCTATACCTTCTCCTGCTCACCCTTCCTTGGTAATCCTTAATATACCAGCAATGGACAGTTCTCATTGATGCTTACCTTGATGTCATTTTGATTTATTATTTATTCACTTATTTTATTACCAGATAAAGCCTTCCAGATAAAGTCTTTCTTTTTAATTATTGCATTTTAATTTTGTTTTTCCTTTCGATAGGTTTTATCTGGGCCAGTTTTCCAAATGATTATTTATTTGTTATTCCAAAACACATTTCCTACATACATACCCATCACACTATTCCTTTCTGGGTAAACACTATTTCCTAATAGTACAAATATATACCTCACAATAAAGTCCCACAGAGTCTACCACACATTCTGAACATTCTCTGTTCCTTTGAATGGCCAAGATTTGCAGACTGGCTTAGCACAACCCCAGGAAAACAGCAACATCAATTATTTTCAGGTATGCATACTCACAAACCCAGCATCCCAGTGACACTTTCTCTAACTTAGAATTAAAACTATGTCTTCCAATTTATTTCAAAGTTCTCAGAAAATCATTGGAGCAGCTGCGTGGAAGGGCAGGTTGGCTCACCATCATCTCTGGCTAAAAATATTTTAGAGAATTACTGGGAAAGGCCAGTTATGCCTGAGGATTTAGAACAGTGTTTCTCAACCTTGGCAACTTTAAGACGGGTGGACTTCAACTCCTGCTGTACGGCCAA